TCACACCAGGTTTCAATGTTTTTGTCTTATAGCAAATTATACAAGGAAATCTTATTAGTATTTATAGGAAAAAGTATCATAAAAAGAAGTTTATGCTGTCAAACCTCGCTATAATGAACTTTGAATATAGCGAATTCTTTAGTGGTCTCTTCTGTGTTAAATCTTATTCTTGCATACTCTTACCTATTAAACTAGGGCGAAATTTTAATTAAGTTATGGATTAAAACTCAAACAATTGAGGCAAGTTATGGAGTTAAACTTTCTATTTTTACTTTTTCTATTCGAAAAAAAAATTGTTTTAAAATTTTTATCTCGAAAATAAAATTGAAATCCTGGATATTTTGCCCAGCATAAAATGAGAACTAGAAAGTAATGGATTCTTTATTAACTGTTAATTGAAGACGTGGTGAACTCTTACTTAAAATCGAACAGTTAAAAATCACCAATTTCTTCCATAGAAAGGAAAAATTTAATTATTATTTTTCTTTTTAACATTTGATTTTTTAGCTATTTAATAATTTATAACAAATTTGCAATCACTATTTTTTAGAATACTACTGTAGACCGAGAAAAATAGTATGGTCAAAACTACCAGAACATGGTAAAATTTACCGTTATTCTGGTTCCAGGGGAAGACCTAAGACTTCGGTAATTTTTTACAGCAATAAAATATGATTATAACATGTGAAAAAATATAGTAAAATTTGGTAATTTTATCTTGATACCTAAGAGCATGGCATAAAAACCATTTATTCGATTAAATTTATTTTTCAGCTCTGCATTTTTTAACCTAATGTGTGGTAATAAGAATTATCATTTTGAAAACCAGAATTTCCGGCAAACAGTTGCCAAATGAGCGAAAAAATAACGTAATGAATGATTTAAATGTTAAAATTTTGGTTTTATTGACCAGAATTATGGTTTTTTCCCCTAGAAATGTCCTTACCGTAACAGTATGACAATTTTACCACATTTATTTTTCTCCACGTAGCATGAAAAATAAATTTTTTTGTTTCCTCTTAGAATTTAGATATAGTGAGTCTTTAGGTGGTCTTTTTTCTATGGCCGTAGACATTTCACGACAACGGGGGTCGACTATATTTTGATTGTTGATAAGCGTTAACATAAATAAAATATAAATATGATGCTTTAGGGCAATTGTTGGAAAATAAATGTGCATCTTTCAACTGACTTAATGAATGGTAGAATTTACAAAAGAAGATTTACACACTTGTTCTTTTTTTTAAGTATTTTTTATAGACTAGTGAGTAATATTCAATAATTTGGCTTCTTGTTATAAAAAAATTTACTTGATTTCAAAATTTTATTTAATCGCGTTTATTTTACCAACGAAAAACAACCGATTCGAAAGGATGAACACTGCAAAGTGTTAACACGAATTCAATACTATAAGCTTTTTTCTGTCACAAACCAATTAAGGAATCTGAAAATAAGAATGTTAATAATCCGGATAAACCTTTCTTTTTTTAGAAAGCTATTGAATAAAATTTGCATTCTTTTACGATTCAAGAAAGAGTAGTAGATAATAGGAAAATGTTTCCTATTAAAAATCCCCATAACTTTTGTTGTATGTCGTTATACCCATAAAATTTTTCAAAAATAATGAAGCCTTTAAGGTTCTCAAAATGGCAGCGAGTACTCTTATAAGTGTTTACATAAAAAAATCTATAAGTTATGTTATTTATGTTAATTCTTAGTTAAATTAAGTGACGTATATGAATTTGAGTACTTGATTAAAATCATAAAACCGTGAATGAGTCATTTGTGATGATATTCGAAATCATCGGTTTTATTAATGAAATCTTTTCATTATTTATTTTAATTTGAAAATAGGAAAAGAATGTGTTGATCAGCAGTTGCTTTTCTCAACACATTGATTGTAAAACTGTAGTGATTAGAAAGTGTCCTTTTGGCAAAATATTCACAGGATGTTTCGTAATTACCGTTCTTAATATATATTTTTCAAATTCTTGTCACAAATTAAATCAGAAAAAAACAAACATATTTGGGCTCGCAAATTAATGTTCAAGCGAACAAAAACGACTTACATTTCAATTAGGTTACGTTTACGAGTTACATTGCATTTGATGATTTCAAAACTGTAGTAATTGGAAAATGTCTTTTTTGACAAAACAGTTGCAGAATGTTTCGTAATTACCGCTATTAATATACATTTTTAAAATCCTTTGTCATGAATAAAATCACGAAAATAAATATATTTGGGCTGGCAAATTAGTGTTCATTCGAGGATAAACGAATTACTAAACTCTGATTGCAAAACTATTGTGATTAGGATATGTTTCTCTTATAAAATAGTTACAGGGTGTTTCGTAATTACCCCTCCAAATATACATTTTTGAACTCCTTGTCACAAATAAAATCAGAAAAATAAACATATTTGGGCTCACAAATGAATGTTCAAGTGAAGAAACACGAGCTAAAAAACATTGATTACAAAACTGTTGTCCCGTTTTGACAAAAAGTTGCAGGGTGTTTCGTAATTACCACTCCTAAAATATATATTTGGAATCCTTGTCACAAGAAAACTAGAAAATAAACATATTTGTCTCAATATATGGTTCTCAAATTTATATCCAAGTGTATAATAACAGAAAAATAATAAAAATTTATCGAACCATTCACAAGCAAGTTTGGTTTCGAAACCATAAAAGCCTATTTGATTTCTAAAAAAAACTAAAATAAAGGTTAAAATTTTTAAATTTCCTACAGTAAACAAGTTGGTTTTAGTGTTTTTAATTATACGTTCTTAATAATGATTCGACAATTGCTTTTTTATTTGCTTAAACATTAGATTTCCAAATGTGCTGTGCATATTTTTCTTTCATTTTATTTTTGACAAGAATTCTAAAAATATATGCTAAGAGTGTTGAATGCGTAACAATAAGTATTATAGACAAGGTTTTAAAACACCACTTCTAATAGTTTTTAAACCTACGGAGCACGTGTAATAGCAATTGTTAAAGAAATATGTCTTAAAATTTGCTAAATTTTGCTTAAAAAATGATGATTGAATATTTTGATTGTTTAAATAATTCTATTTGTTTTCACATTTTAAAGTTTTTTTTGTAGAAATTAAGAATATACACACATTTTTGAGTTATATATAACTTTATAAGACCTTACTGTAATTGATAAAAACTTTAAAAGCTCATTAAACATATTCTTTTTGCTCATACTTGTGTTTTCATAACTTTTTTCAACTCCACAACCAAAGAGAAATAGCCCAAAAATTTCATATTTATTATTTTTTTAACCAAAATTTCATATACATTATTTTTTAACTAAAAATTTCATGTATATAATTCTTTTACCAAAAACTTCAAGTACATTAATATTTAACCAAAAATTTCATAAGCATTAATCTTATTAAAAAAAAACTTTATTAAATCAATCATCTTGATTTGAGAGTGATACTTCGGGTACATTCCATGCAAATAACTAATCTAAAACAACAAACGTTCACTTTTCTTTACACTCTATTGTTGGTTGAAAAATGAGTAATAAAAAAGGAATATTAAATTTTAAAAGAATGATTCAGATTTATTATGTATATGCTACAATTTAAAAGTAATGTTTTACTAAATAATTATTTTTTTCCTTAAAAGAAAATAAGATAGACGGTTTTTCAACATCGTTATATTCTATATTATATTAAAATCTTTAAGTTAGTATATTAAAATAGAGGACTTAATATTTACTATGAAAATGTTAATATAAACTATAAAACTCAATTTTAAAATATAATACATACAGAGGAGAAAATAATTACATTTTTTTAAAGAAAGTAAGAAAAGCTTCTTTTACGTTTAAGTTAATTTATAATTTTTAAGCACAAAATGTATTTATTGCTATTTTTTATGTATAAAAATTCGGTGGTATAATGATAATTAAAAAGAAGATTTCACTTTTAAGAAAATTCTTTATAAGATGTTGTTAATCATAAATCTTACGTAAATCATATTTTAAAATGCAAATAATTATTAATTTTATTATTTTTTTAAAAAAATTGTAAACTTATCTTTTAAACAATATTCATAAACTCAAAAATTTCTAAACTTGCCATATTGTTTAAAACTACTTTTGCCTAAATTAACTATATAAATCCTTTCTTTCGCAGTAAAGCACAGCTCAGACAGTTTTAAAAATTCATTAAATAGAAATTATTAAAATTCATTAAATAGAAATTATTAAAATTCATTAAATAAAAGCTTTTATTCAAGTCAAACTCTTTTAGAAAGTACTACATTAAGGACATAATAATAATCTTAATATACTACAATAAGTACATACGTTCTTTTGAAAAATAAGATAAGTCCTAAAAGTAGTATCTTCAGAACTTGATGTTCTTTTTACAAAATATGAATATAAGACATCAAGCATAAACATCGAATTTAGTAATAAATGGTCTTTCACATCCAACATTGAATTGAATTCTTTTTCCCTTAAGTTTGAAATTCTTTTTTGTTACAGTAAAACAGATTTCGCTCAGTTTTAAAAAAATCATTAACTCAAAAATACTAAAATTTATAAAATGAAAGTTGCTAAATGTAGGTTTTAAAATAATTGGCTATAGCCTGTTAGGTTTTTACGTTTATTGTTAAGTGTTTTGCGTTTTTTTAAAGATAAGTTATAAGTCTTTAATGCAGTATCTTTCGAGCTTAGTAATCTCTATAGAAAATGTGAATATAAAATATTAAACACAAATACAAATTCAGTGCATATGAAACAGCGTATGAAGTATTTTTTTAATACGATAAGAATAAATTTTCTTTCACATTCAATTGAAAATTATAATACAAAAATTTACTGCTGTAATTAATATAATTCAAAAAAATTTTAAAAATAAAAGTTGCTTATATTAGGGTTTATGTATAAAGCATATTTTAAAATGCATACAATTATTATTATTTTTTATAATAAAAAAGGAAAGAACATAAGCTAAAAACATATCAACTTACCATATTGTTTTAAGAAACTTTCACCTTAACTTAGAACTTTCTTAATCCTTTCTTCTCACAGTAAACATGCTTCAATTGTTACCAATATCTTGATCAGCGTTGCTTTTTAAACACGGAAAATCCCTTTTTTCTCTTTCCCAGAATCCCCCGCGGCATTCGTGCGAGACAGAAACAAGTACAACTGACCACCTTTTCTTCTAAAAACTCATCCCAAAAACGAAACAAGAAAAACGGAAAATTGAAATGAAAACACAATTCAGACTCTCTTTTTTGACGATGGGTCAGATGAAATCTTTTTTTTTTCTTTACTTTTAAGTTTAAAGGAAATGATACCATCCAGTGGCTTACATTATAGAAAATGGTTTAATTGATCGTCTGATTGTTTTTAGACAAATTAACATTTATTTGAAGATTGTTTTAACTATAAAAATTGGTTTGTCATAACTTGTCATTAACGCAATGCTAATAACTACGAAATGTTTTTGTGAAATGTTTTTTTTTCCTTCTATTTAACCTTGCGGTACCAATGCTCTATAATTGAATTGCTTTACATTGTATCAATTGAATTTCAGCAACAAATAAGTAAATTTTTAAACAAATTTTTAACAAGTTTTTTCTTCCTGAAAGAATGTAGTCAATTCCTAATAAGCTTATCATGAATATAAAAGTACTTTTTTTTTTTTTTACTTTATGAAGTTTGTCAAACTTTTTGAAGCACAGCACTTTCTTTAATACTTTCGACACTAAGTCGACGGAATTTTCTTGCAGGTCCTCGACGGGATAGATTGAGGACAGATTGACTAATGAGGATTGATCGGGATGGATTGAGGATAAAAATGTGAAATAACATTAATGTTATTAAAAATATCATGAATATAATGAAAAATAATAGAATGCATTAGAGGAAGGGTTCCCATTTTTTTTCCGGCAACCGTAACTGATCATCTTTCGTTCGACTTTACCCTGACTTTTTAAATAAAGTACTCGAAGAAAGTTTCGAACGTATTTACCAATATAAAAAGGAATGAGCCGCGATAGCTCAGGGGATAGAGCGTTCGCCTTCCAATGAGGCGAACCGGGTTCGAATCCCAGTCGATGCGAATTCAGCATCCGATTTGCACCGACCACAGTGCTGACGTGAAATATCCTCATTGGCAGACGGATAACGGGTTAGAGTTCCTTTGCTGTCAGGCTAACCGTGGGAGGTTCTCGTGGTCTTCCTCTCCATGCAAAGCAAATGCGGGTCAGCTCCATCAAAAAATCCTCCAAGAAGGCAAATTTCTCCCAATACTCGATCTAGGAGTACCCTTGTCTTCTGGACTGGGTTCAAAATTACAAAGCTACGGATTTGAACATTAGTAGTCGTAAACCCATAAAATTGGGTCGGCTGTTCAATAAAATAAAATAAAATAAAATAAAATAAAAAGGAATGGGAGCCGTGATGACTCAGGGGATAAAGAGTTCACCATCCAATGCGGTGAGCCGGGGTCAAATCCCAGCAATAGCTGGTCGATACGAATTCCTCACACGGCTCGCACCTACCACAGTGCTGACGTAAAATATCCTTAGTGGTAAACAGATCATGGGTTAGAGTCCCCTTGCCGACAAGCTAACGTTGGGATGTTTTCGTGGATTTCCTCTCCATGTAACTCAAATGCGGGTTAGTTCTATCATAAAGTCCACCAAGAAGGAAAATTTCTCCCACTACTTGATGCAGAAATTCCTTCGTCTTCTGGAATGGGTTCAAAAGTACAGAGAACTACGGATTTGAACATTAGTAGTCATAAACCCAAAAATTGGGTTGGTTGTACAACGACGGTTATAAAATAAAATAAAAGGAATGGGAGCCGTGGTGACCATAAAGTTTACGGTAAAGAATTTTTTTACTTTTACGTTTTCGAAACCATTTACAACTACTATGGTTAAAAATCACGAATACAAAACTAAGCAGTTTTTATACCATTTACAACTAGCATGGCTTCAAAGCCGTACAAAATAAATTTAACTGGATTTGGGGATAGATTTATAGGGCAACCATTTATGCGGGAATGAGAGTATTTTATTCTCATAGCCCAGTTAAACAAATTAGGGAGTGTACGACAACTGGAAACTCTGTTGAAAGGAGTGGAGGAAGTATTGTGATGTCAACACTGAGACTAGAACTCTCATTCTGTCGGTCAGGAGATTGACAGATTAGCAATCTCGGCTGTAGTATGTACTCAGCAAGGAACTAAGGAGCTTCATTATGTGGGTCTAGATTAGATGAAAGCAGTTAATAAATGTTTTTTTTTTCACAATTAACTGTTTGAATACCACCGTATTTATAGTTATTTGACTGTTTTGTTTGAATATGGTAAAATAGCAATTAAATGAATAGTTATTTAACCACTTCAACGGAGAAACTTCTAACATCGGACAATGGTCTTTCATATGTTGCTTTCATGTCATCGATAATAGAGAAACTGTTGCAGAATAATTTGTTATTTCAAAACTCTCCAACTCTGCCGAATTTTATTTTATTTAAAAAGTTTGAAAAAAAAATTAAAATAAAACAACGACGATCTTTCTATCGAATTTAAAATTGTGTTCTTTTTTAATTTCAAAGCCTTGTTTTTGAATTAATTAAAGAGAATGGAAATAAAACGATATTCTACTTCAAAAATGCGGCAAAATATTAAACAATTTATTATTACAAAATTTTAGAAATTATTATTATTTAATTTGAGCTTCTCATCAAAATTGTTTTAATATTGGTATTAGTTATGTGATTAAAACTTAACATTTTACAATGAAAGAGAAACACAAGTTTTGAGCTATTGTTTTATTTTTATATTTTTGAATGAAATAATTGGCAGGAAGATAAAAACATTATTCTAAATCAATGATCTATAAATTTTGCTAAATTTTGAAGTTTATTTAAATTTATATATGTATATATTTTTTTTTTAAAAAAAGGAGTTGAATGTTAGAAAGAATTAACATTCTTATTTCTGTAATACCTATATTAAAAGCGACTTTCGCGCTTCAAACAGCTTTCAAATCATTAGTTTAAAAAATTAGTATGACTAAAAATTATTTTGATTTTCATATATCTTATTTCATATTAACTTACCACTTTAGAACGAAAAGTTTAAAACTATCTAAACAAAAAGATAGTTCCTTTAATACATATGTTAACATTTAAGAACATAAATCTTCAACCATGTAGTCAAATAATTTAAGAAATATTACTTTTAAATGGGAAATTCGGGTTATTTAATTTTTATCATTAACGATGGTAGTTTTTCTCTGAATATATAGCGGAAAAGTACATAAAAAAATAACGCCTTATAAAGTTAATTAAAAATAATACTTTGATTGGAAAATCGCTTCAGTTAGTTTTTATTCCGGGATGCATATCATAATAGAATTCCTACTAAATTCATTAAAAATATAATAATAAAAATTTGGTTGAAAGAAATTGTTATTTGATTCTTGCCGTAGACACAAAATTCTTAAACCTCTCTTGAGATAAAAACTGCTTCACTCTTTTTTGACAATAAAATGAACCACTATTCAATTTTTACGTGCTAATAAAAAAAAATAAAAAAATACAATGACTACAATTCACGAATATATTCTTTCTTTCTCATTCTTTCGCTTCGAAAAGGATTAATTTTCTAATAAATATCATAACAAAACACAAACTAAATTCAATAAGAAATATTACATTTGAATGAAAAATTCTATTTATTTTGTCAAAGGCACTTGTTTTATCTTTAATGATTTCCGAATAAACATCATAACAACAGGTCAACTACATTAATTAAAAAAAAAACTATTAATTTTAATTAGAAAATTCCTTTTATTTCATTTTTATCACCAACACATCTATATCAATGAGAGCCAATGGCTCTGGGGATAGGGCGTTCGTCTTCCAATGAGGTGAACCGGGTTCAAATCCCGGCGATGGCTGGCGAATGCGAATTCCGCATCCGGCCAACACCAACCCTATCTCGGTGGTGTTGATCAGGCTTGCATCGACCACGGTGCTGACGTGAAATATCCTCAGTGGTAGAAGGATCATGGGTTAGAATCCTCTTGCTGACAGGCTAACCGTGGGAGGTTCTCGTGGTCTTCCCCTTTATGTATTGCAAATGCGGGTTAGTTCCCTCAAAAAGTCCTCCACGAAGGCAAATTTATCCCAATACTGGATCTAGTAGGTTCCTTGTCTTCTGGATTGGGCTCAAAATTACAAAGCTACAGATTTGAACATTAGTAGTCATAAACCCAAAAATTGGGTAGGTTACTTTATTATATTGGTCGACGGTTATAAAGTAAAATAAAATAAAAGGAATGGGAGCCATGGTGACCATAAAGTTTACGGTAAAGAATTTTTTTTTACTTTTACGTTTTCGAAACCATTTACAGCTACTATGGGTAAAAGTCACAAATACAAAACTAAGCAGTTTTTATACCATTTACAGCTAGCATGGCTTCAAAGCCGCAAAAAATAAAATTAACTGGATTTGGGAATAGTTTAGCAGATTGATTGTAAAATTACAAGGCTACGTAAATGAACATTAGAAGTCGTAAACTACAAAATTGGATCAGCTGTGCAACGACGGTTATTTTAAAAAAAAAAAATCAATGAAAAAAAATATAAATTTTTAATGGAAAATTTGTTTTATTTCATTCTGTCATTAACACTTGTTTTTACTCTAATACCTTGCGGATAAATATCATACTGAAACGCCCAATAAATTCGATAAAAATAATATAATCTTCCAACTACCGGCTCGTCTATTAATAGTTAAGTATCTAAAGGAAGGAAATTAGCGCACGATAACCGACAATTGGTGAGAGCCTCAGCGAAATCCCCCTATTTAGGATATTTTCCACTTGACTGGGCTTAACTACAATTTAAGTGAAAGCAGGAAAGTTGTCGATCAAGGATTCCTAAATGAACTTTTTATCGTTTATGTTCACAGATTTTGAACAATTTTTTACGGAAGCGATTAGGTGGATACAATTTGATATACGAACAATTTTAAAGGGGATGAGCTAATGATATAACATTGGGCTATTATACTCTGGGCAGGAAGATAGTGAAATCCTGACCGTAACTTTCGATGTTCAACGGCGGTTAAGAGTTTTTTTCTCGACACGAGTTG